GGGGGGGTGGTTAGGACTTGAATCCAGTTTCAGACTTCTGCTCGCAGCATTGTGATTGACTAAATGCTCTGAGAGACCCTAGTGCTGCAGAAGCAGCAAATCCTGGAAAGGACAAACCCTTTGAGACAATTCTGGCTTCATTAGAGTTAAGAGGTCTGCAATGATTATCCCTTTCAAACAAATAAACAAACCCACTGAGCCAGGGTCTGTGTGATAGGTAGCCAGGAAGGGCAGAGTTGCCTGAGGATAGACGCCAGTGGTAGCCCTGCTATCAGGAAACTGCATTTCAAGCCAGACTCGAGGTGGGGCACAGAAGCTTGGGACTCTCAGGCTGAGCCAACACGCTTAAGAAGCATCTGGAAGAAAGCTTCCCAATCTTAATTTAGGTCCACAGGGATCTCACCAACTAAGATAATGTATTGAGGTCATAATCAAAGATTAAGCACACAAGAGGATGAGCCGCTAAGATGGGAAATCAGAAGAAACTACAAACAAGTGATTTAGAACCCCCTCCCAAAGACTGTGTATACTGGACACATCAGATAGAGAATGCAGAACAACTATATTTCGAATATTTCACAGAATAAAGGACTTGAGCACAAAGATGATGAATCAACAAGGGAAGTATTAGATATAGACAGATGGATCTGGAAAAATCAATCAGCAAATGGAATTGTTTGAAATGAAAAAAGAATTAAGTTGATTTAAAAACTGGTTTAAACAGTAACACAGACAAAGTTGAAAAGAGAATGAAGAAATTGGAAGCTATATCTGAAGAAATTACCCTGAATACGAAAAGAGAGATAAAGAGGTAAAAGATTTGCAAGACACAGTAAGAGATAGGAGGACAGAATGAGAAGGTCTAACCTATGTCTAATTGGAGTGCCAGAAGAAAAGAATAGAAAGAGATTATGGCTGCAACTTTTCAAGACTTAGAAATTCTTATTCTAATTTTTAATGTTGTTCAAGAACTGGAGAAAAATACAAATCCACAACATCCCAGGCAGGATAAATGGAAAGAAATCCATATTTAGATACATGGTAGTAAATCTAAACAATATCAAGGCAACAGAAGATGTTCAGAGCAGCTAGAGATAAAAAGCAGATTACCTACAAAGGAATGAGAGTAGGAATGATACACTATAATAATATGTTTAACACACTGTGAGACAAATTCTATTGACCTAAAATTGTATACACAGCAAAACTATTTTCCAAGAACAAGAAATGAAAACAGAGATAAACAGAGGCCAAATAACTTTACTGTAAAGGAATACTAGGGGCTTCTAAAAAAATGTGCTTAGGAAGAAAGAAAATGATTGCAGAAGGAGGGACTGAGATGCATGAAAAAATGGTGAACAAGTAAAATGGCAAGTTGTATGTACATCCAAATCTACATTGTCTATAGAATGATAATGATAATGATGATAATGTCTAACTTGTTAAGTTAAAAATAGTTAGGACTAAAAATACTAAGCAACAACATATAAGTTAGGAGGGCTGAGAGGAGTTAAAGTAGTATAAGTTCCTTCTATTTTGCAGGAGGAGGTCTAGGATACTGCTTTATTTTAGACTTCGTTAAGTTAAATAGACTTAGTAAATTACCAAAGGTAATCACCAAAAGACTAGAAATAGAGTTTACATGTGTCAAAAAAATGGAGGGAAAAACAGACACAGGTCTCCTGATTTGGAATCCAGGGTACTGTTTACACAAGTTGTGGGGGGTTGGCAGAGTCCCAGGCTCCACTAGAGGTCGGAGGATGCTGGCATCTGCTGCGCATGTGGCTTGGAGAGAGCAGAGTCCCACCTTCCCCACATTCTCGCACACCTGTTGTTGGGGCTGAAGATGAAAAACGCACTGGCTTCTGGCATGGGCACTGCCTTTTCCTTAAGGTGCAGCTCAGAGAGTGGTCGTGGGCGGGGGCCCACAGGCATCTCAGGCTCCTCCTCATCCTCTTCTCCTGTAGGAAAAAAAGCACCGTTCTAAATAACTCCACTACTCCCACGAGGTTTTACCGCTATGCTGCCTTCTTCCAGATACCTTCCTACCGCCCCAAATCAAGACATCATTTGCGTCTCTGAAAATGAGAGGTATCAACTGAGACACTCAGCTCTCTCCCTGTGAGTGCTGGAATCTTTGTTAGAGAGACTTTTCTGGCAGCACACAAGGGGGGTTGTAAGTAGGGTGACTAGTTCAATCCCAGTTTGCCAAGAACTGTCCTGGTTTCTAAACTGAGATTCCCACATCCCAGGAGGCTCCTCAGTCCCATGTGGATTCGGATGGTTGGTTATCCTAGTTGTAAGGCACTAGGAAAGGTGATCAGGTAAGACTAGGGCATTGCCAGGTGTCTTTTCCATCTAGGCTGCAGGTAGGGGCATGGGTACAGCTCAGGTGACTTGCAAGCAACCCCATCCTTGAAGGTTCTAGGAGTTTAAAATTAACACTCCCATTCCTGAAAAATACCAAAAACTCATGTGCTGTAGGGATAAGAGGGCAACGATGCTGACCACAACAAGCACTTCATTCAAAAGTCTAGACATTAGCACCAGTTAAAGAAGCCCCTTTGTGGGCGCCTGGGTGGCTCAGTCGTTAAGCGTCTGCCTTCGGCTCAGGTCATGATCCCAGGGTCCTGGGATCGAGTCCCACATTGGGCTTCCCACTCTGCGGGAAGCCTGCTTCTCCCTCTCCCACTCCCCCTGCTTGTGTTCCTGCT